AAGGGTACTGTCACTTAAGACTAAGTTAGGCGGTGTTTCTGGCTTGCATTGGCGAAAACGGCCAACGCTGGGTCCCGTTTGGTCTTCTTGACCCCGGGCGAAGGTGGGGTGCGATTGGTGCTAACTAAATGTTGGTGCACTTGGTGGGCGTCATTGTAATCGATGGTCGGACAGATCTTCGGAACCAACTGACTAGGTATGGATATCCGAACAGCTTCTTCAGCCGCCGGCTCCGTACGCGCTCGGGAGGAACAAATGGAAGTGATTCATTAACACTCTGGCACCATTCACCTACCAACTGGAATTAGGTGAGCAGTCTGGTGTCGTTTAGCAAGTCCCCTGTTACAACTGTTCTGGCCACTATAGAGGGCAAACCGGGCGACGACCTAGCCCATGAATAAAAGAAAACAAAAGGACAATGCGGAGAGGTGACCCATTGTCTCAGATGGCTGCCCATATTCCAGGAGTTAAACTTCACGGGTGCGCGGATAATGGTAACTATTGGAAGCCTAGGTATCTGACTCCATCAACAGACATGTTGATAAACTACTCGCTCCTCCCCCCCTGCTAGTACAACCTTTGTTCGCGCGGCCAAGAGACGCGACCTAGTTCCCAGCCCAGCACGCAGGCTGTGAGACGACGCAGGCTTGAATTAAACCTTACCACGAATGTAAACCTCCTCCCTTTTCTCGTAGTTGAGCTACAAAAGCACATCAATTCACTCTGCTGCACACTCACTGCCTCTGAAGATGGCTTCTGGTACGAAGCCGAGAACTTTGTCAAATAAAATGCTGCCCTCATTGTGATTGCGCATTCAAACTCTTCGAGGCACTGTTAATATAATCGACAGGATTACGAGCACATTGTTCAATGGTTATGGCAATGGACTTCTAACCAACAGGTAGCTAATTAGATCCCCGGGTATTGCCACACCTGAAGTTGGATATGGCTGGTTGATTACGTCCAATAACTCAGAAATGACTATTCAGAGTCAACCATGCCTTTCTGGAATAAGGTTTATCAGTTTTCAAGAGAGGAAGAAAGGGCTCTGTATTAACTTACCTACAGAGAGGGACTTCCTCAGTTTGCTGAATCGATCGCTTCTTTAGCCTGCCATAGGAGATTTCCTGACCATTCCCACCGTCTTCAAATTCCTGAGTCTCCATACAGGGTGGAAATGTCAGTAGGCAAATGAGCATCTTGGCATTGGAGAGGCAGTCACTCGGTGAACTTGGCAATCCTTCGCTGGCATTCCCTGTCTTTTCTTCTCCGAAGACCAGCACATTCCATGCACGAAAAAGCTCGTCAAGCTTACGATTGAGGGTCGCCAACCTGGCCAGAGAGGCATTCCTTATCAGATAACTATGGCCCTGCCGGGCAGCAAACGAGCCCAGGTAGGTGGTACATGGGGAGTCAGAGGGCAGAACGACGTCGTGCGGCTGACACTGATCTCTAAAAAAAACCAGACGAAAATAAACTGGTCAGAGTGGATGAGGACGAAGCTTGCTCTAAAAAAAGTTGGCGCTTGACAGAACAGCAGCCTCCGGTGGGGGTGGGTCGGGGTGGGGATGGAAAAACCCTCAAGTAGCCAAAGCCGAGCAACAGGAAACGAAAGCGACAACCTGGTCGGGGTGAGCGGAGGGGAATGGGTTGGAGTGGCCATAGTGTGACGTCGAACAGCAAGGGAGGATGAGGCGGGATACGGAAAGTAGCAGGAGAGGAACTTGCACAAACTTACGGCCCTGATAAAAAGTCAGTCAAGTCATCCTGTCTTGACTCTGAAAAGCGAAAAATGTGGCGAAGCGGGGGAGGTAAAACAATGAAATGTGTCCTTAACCCCTACAGGAAAGAAGCCAAACCCTTTAGCAAAAAGAAGGCATAGAGCAGGAATGGGTCTGTTATTCATCTAGCAGTTCATGATTAGGAAAAAGGCTCGCCCGTTTGAAGTTTATTTGAAAAGAAATCAGTAGAGTCCAGACAATTCCAGTGACCCACATCAAATACAACCGAGAACCAACTCTCTCTGTTGGCTGCAGTCGAACTCACTGTAGACTTGACAAGGCAATGGTCCACGGATGAGAAATGCTGATTCAAAATTTGCTCAGAAAGTCATCGCTAACTCAAAGTAAAGAAGACAACTTGGCGCTTTATAGACATAGACTGGAAGCTCCAAATAGGCGACAATAATTGAATCCAGAAGGTTAAGGTAGGTAAACCAAATGGGAGTCGGTGGTTTAGTGCACATTTCGTCTTGCTTCTCGGATCTGTTTGATGCAGTTGATGCTCAGAACGCCTTCGATCATAGGTTAGTGAAAATCAGGTGGAAACACATACTACCTAAGTAGCCACTTTTATCAAATCTGATTTTCATAGGGTACGGGAAAGAGGCGCGTTCAACAGTCGGCATCCCGACGTTAGAGAAATATTTTAGCATGATGATAAATCTCACAAACCCATCCAAGTAAAACCTTCTAATGGAGGTTACATTTGTGACTTTTGGTTAAGGGTTAAGGACGTAAACATGAGAGCGGGTGAAAAGAAGCAATACAGAAAAGAAGCACTGTTGATAAGAATAGGGACTCGAAAGACTTTTTGACACATTAATCGTCAGTAGCCGGAGCTGAGATTTGAGTTGGAAGCAATTTAGTTGAGAGTGAAAATATTGAAAGTCAGACTGGGGTAACGCTTGCTCAGCTGGCCCTAATACAGAAATGAGTGCGGGTGCTTAACGTGGAATATTTCCAGTCGTGCCAACTGTTTTCCCCTGGGAGTATAGCATGTAAGGTATGGAAGGAAAGTGTCTTTCCGTAGACCAAAACAAACAATTTGTTAGGTGACTACATGTTCCGTTGCAACGCAACGTTCCCGCACATATCCCTAAGAATTGTTTCTACATACCCCAAAGGCAGAAACTGGCATCGTAGAGGCGGCACGTTTTGCAGAAAGCAAGCTTCGCCCCTTCCACCTGAGAGACAGTACAGTAGCCGGGAGCGAAGAATAGTACACTAAGGCTACGACACACACAAAACATCTCACACAGGGAAGCCAGAATAGCGTAAGCTGTTTCGAAACAATAAAAGTATGAAAATCGGGAAGAAGAAGAAGAAGAAGAAGATGCGATCACTGTGGGTGAATTACCCCTTCCCCTTTTATCTCTGATGATAGATCCGCGACCGAGTTCTAAACGTCAGCCGAATGAAATTCATGTCCCAGCGATCATATCTTCTTCTCAATTGCTTCCTGGGACTCGCATGTTCACTTGTATTGGCAGGATGAAAACCCCCACTGTGGTTTAGACAGCTCTGTTGACGAAGAGAGGCTAAGACGGTGTTCGTCATGTCCTTATGTTAAAGTTCGCCCAACACGAGGAAGAAACAGCACTTTCATTTCATCATGCGTCAGGACGTGAGACAAAGGTTTGACTTTTCGGAACTACCAGGAGACACAGAAAGCACTCGAGGACCCACCGGTCAGCCCAACCGCGGCAGAACATCGGCGAGACACGTGTCTTAACTTTTAGCTAGTACCAGTGCTGCTAATATGGTGTACTTATCATACAGCCCGCCTCCGTCTCGGTTAGCCTGCTTATCAAATTACATAATGACTACAGCGAATGGAGCAATCAGCCTCAGTTAAGAACGCGACCCTGCCGTGATACACACACATCAGGACATCATTACACGCGAGATCATTTTAGCAAGACCTGGAGTCAAACTCTAGTCTGAAACGTCACAAAATGCGATTGGCGGTATGGGCAGAACGGCCACTTATACGATTACCTACGCGCGTGGCATCCTAAGACGAAGGGGGTTTCACAGACTCGGAAAACAAAGCATCGAACATAATGCGTAGGAAAAGAGGGAAGCAATTAGATCAGCCCGTCATTCAAATCACAAAAAAGCAAATGCTGCTTCGCTAGCGTTCCTGGTGGGGATCGGTTACGTTCTTTTCTGAAACAGGTGAGCTGAGTAATATGATTAAACCCGAATGAATGAAGAGGTTTGCAATCCAGGTATTTGT